TATTAGCTCACCTCCCTTTTCCTTCTTAGGTGCTATAGTCTTTTGTTTTACAATATAAACTGAGTTTTGATTGCTCAAGAAATTCAAGTGAACAATAATAGCTGTTACCAGTATACTTCATCAATTTTTTTTTGTTTTTATTATGACTTTTGCAACATTTGGTAAGAATTCTCAGAATAAAGCTTTATCTGTGGATCTTACCTAGAAAAGAACGTTAAATCTGCCTGTTGTTGTTGATTATGCAAATCAGTTTATAGAGAACTAGCATTAATGAGTCCCTAAATGCCCAAAATACATGGCAAAAACACATTAATGGCACATTAATGACTTTACAGTGGGTATGAAATGGTATTTCCCATGTCAGTGGCTGTGCCCTTCCAGCCATGCAGAACATCTAGAAAAATCCTTACCGGGAGTGACTGCAAGCTAACTCTTGCTAGGTGCCTCCTGCTCTTCAGAAATAGATGCTTTTTTCTGTGTCATCAGCAATGATGAGGGACACCTCCCTCACCACTGAACTAACCATTTAAGTCCCGCCACCCATCCTAGCGTGACGCCAACACGGCTCCCACTTGCTCATTTTGTGTTGAGGGCTTCAGATGAGTCCCGTACAGGATCCCACGTTCTAAATGCCTTTCCCCGATGTGGAAACGTTAACCTGTGCTACTGGAGACAACAATTTCAACAAAGATACCGTATAGGTTACGAAGGTTATCCAAGAATCCCATTGTAGAATAAATCCCAAAGAAGGGAAATGATTACTTTCTCCAAAGGGAACAGTTGGGAAACAGTGATTAATTCTGTCTCCAGGTTCTAAGAAGGGCCACCCAACTGTCGGCCAAAATAACAGCTTTTTTTAGAATGGCAGGTACTTCCTAATGTGCCAAACCCTGCCCAAGCAGTGTTACTCCAGCCCCTGGAAGGCAGCATGACTGACTCCTGCAGAACGGACTGAACAGTCCTCTTCTAGGCAGGGTTTATCATCATCTGCAAGCAAATAGTAGGGCTCTCTCTCCCTTTTCAAAGTAAGCTGGAGATGTGACACATGATGAGAAAAGCGCGATTAAGGATACCAGGCCATTTTTAACACATGCAACTTCTCGAAACAGCGGGCGGTTTACCGTGGCAGGCAGAGCAGCGCACGCAAGCATCTTGCGTCGACCCTGAATCACAGGTAACAACCCTCTTCCGTGCAACTCAAACGCCAACTGGACGAGCGCTATTTAGCGCACTAACGTTGGGGCTCATTCCCTTTCCCCCCGCCTCCGCTTCATCCCTTTGCTCACCTTTCCGCTCTCGCTGCCCGTTACTCACCCTTCCTTCCCCTCGAGGCCTCCTCCCGGCCTCACCGTACTGCCAGGCGCACCAGCC